TGGATTCAAGAGTGGCGATTTAAGCAGCAAGATTCCGGAATTCACCAGTAGACAACCAGGTTTTTCACCAGAGAATTACTCATTAAAACCCCAGTTGATTTGGCGATCATGAAACTTTTTGGGATGACGTTGCCCAATGAAACCAACAACAAATTAAGGATGTGTTTTGTTTAAGATATTGTTCTCTGTGCATTATATTTACAAACGTTCAGTATGATATCCGCAAAAGTTGACATCTACAGAGATATGCCTTGACATCCAAATCATTGGAAATCTGTTGTATATTTTCATGTTGTCCTTTGATAAAGCCCCTAAGTCCATCTTAAGTCAAGGCATATCTCTGTAGAACACTTAGATCCCAGGTGTTCATCTAGCAGATCACCTGGTTAAAACAGGGCCGCGATGGCACCTGGTTTTCCTGGAAATGATGGGATTGGATTGACGATGGGTTAAGATCCACCATGCTATTAGCGGGTACCCTCTGGTAATTTAACATAGCTATTGAAAATGGTGATTTCTAGTGGAATTACCCATTGAAAATGGTGATTTTCCATAGTTATGTTGGTTTACCAGAGGGTAATTCAACGAACTATATAAATGGCCATGTTCAATAGCAAACTGCAACAAATCACCAGAGTGTATGTGTTTCAGACCTTGCAGGGCACAGAAAGTGTTTTCTGATTCAGCCATTTTTCGAAGGGACTGGATCAGCTGGCATCGAAGGGGTTGCCAGGATGAAGTGGATTCCATTTATTTCACATTGAAATTACCCTCTGGTAAACTAACAGTTTGCTATTGAAAATTGCCATTTATAGTGAGTTGTCCAATTAACTAGACGACGGATGGCCCGAGAGCGTAGAGGAGCAGAGTCTTCTGTTGTTAGTATGGAGACACGCTTTTTACACACAGGCTCTTTTACACACAGACGCTTTTACACACAGACGCTTTTACACACAGACGCTTTTTACACGCAGGCGCTTTTACACACAGAAGCTTTTACACACAGACGCTTTTACACACAGACCCTTTTACACACAGACGCTTTTACACACAGACGCTTTTTTACACACAGGCTCTTTTACACACAGACGCTGTTACACACAGACGCTTTTTACACACAGGCTCTTTTACACACAGAGACTTTTACACAGAGGCTTTTACCCGCAGAGACTTTTACACACAGACGCTTTTACACACAGAGACTTTTACACACACAGACGCTTTTACACACAGAAGCTTTTACACACAGACGCTTTTACACACAGACGCTTCTACACACAGAGGCTTTGACACACAGACGCTTTTACACAACAGACGCTTTTACACACAGACGGTTTTACACACAGACGCTTTTACACAACAGACGCTTTCACACACAGACGGTTTTACACACAGACTCTTTTACCCACAGACGCTTTTACACCACAGACGCTTTCACACACAGACGGTTTTACACACAGACTCTTTTACCCACAGACGCTTTTACACCACAGACGCTTTTACACATGTGACGCTTTTACACAGAGAAGCTTTTACACACAGAAGCTTTTACACACAGCCCACTTTTTACACACAAAACACTTTTACACACACACTTTTACACACAGACACTTTTACACACAGACGCTGTACACAACAGACGGCTTTTTACACACAGACGCTTTTTACACACAGACACTTGAACACAAACACATTTACACACAGAGGCTTTTACACACAGACGCTTTTACACACAAACACTTTTACACACAGAAGCTTTTACACACAGACGCTTTTTACACGCAGGCGCTTTTACACACAGAAGCTTTTACACACAGACGCTTTTACACACAGACGCTTTTTACACACAGGGGCTTTTACACACAGAAGCTTTTACACACAGACGCTTTTGCACACAGACCCTTTTACAAACAGACGCTTTTACACACAGACGCTTTTACACACAGACGCTTTTTACACACAGACGCTTTGACACACAGAAGCTTTTACACACAGACGCTTTTACACACAAACACTTTACACAAACACTTTTACACACAGACGCTTTTACACACAAACGCTTTTACACACAGACGCTTTTTACACACAGAGACTTTTACACACACAGACGCTTTTACACACAGAAGCTTTTACACACAGACGCTTTTACACACAGACACTTTTACACACAGACGCTTTTACACACAGACGCTTTTACACACAGACGCTTTTTACACACAGACGCTTTTACACACAGACGCTTTTACAGACAGAGACTTTTACACACACAGACGCTTTTACACACAGAAGCTTTTACACAGACGCTTTTACACACGAACACTTTTACACAAACACTTTTACACACAGACGCTTTTACACACAGACGCTTTTACACACAGACGCTTTTTACACACAGACGCTTTTTACACACAGACACTTTGACACACAAACACATTTACACACAGAGGCTTTTACACACAAACACTTTTACACAAACACTTTTACACAAACACTTTTACGCACAAACACTTTTACACACAGACGCTTTTACACACAGACACTTTTACACACAGACGCTTTTACACACAGACGCTTTTACACACAGACGCTTTTTACACACAGACTCTTTTACACACAGACGCTTTTACACACAGAGACTTTTACACACAGACGCTTTTACACACAAGCGCTTTTACACACGGACGCTTTTACACACAGACGCTTTTACACACAGACGCTTTGACACACAGACCCGTTTACACACAGAGGCTTTTACACACAGAAGCTTATACACACAGACGCTTTTACACACAGACGCTTTTACACACAGACGCTTTTACACACAGACGCTTTTACACACAGACGCTTTTTACACACAGGCGCTTTTACACACAGACAAGTCCGGCACAAGTAAAATCGCAATTTTACCGCAGTTTTTGACGATCGACCCTCATTTCGTGCGAAAGGGTTGCTCCGGCACAAGTAAAATCGCAATTTTACCGCAGTTTTTGACGATCGACCCTCATTTCGTGCGAAAGGGTTGCTCCGGCACAAGTAAAATCGCAATTTTTCGTCAGTTTTTGACGATCGACCCTCATTTCGTGCGAAAGGGTTGCTCCGGCACAAGTAAAATCGCAATTTTTCGTCAGTTTTTGACGATCGACCCTCATTTCGTGCGAAAGGGTTGCTCGGGGGCAAGTAAAATCGCAATTTTTCTTCAGTTTTTGACGATCGACCCTCATTTCGTGCGAAAGGGTTGCTCGGGGGCAAGTAAAATCGCAATTTTTCCACAGTTTTTGACGATCGACCCTCATTTCGTGCGAAAGGGTTGCGTTTCGTGCCGTCTCGTTGGCACTGCCCCTGCTCCCGCCTTCAAAAGAGAAATAGAAAAGAAGGAGAGGGCAAGAGGGCAAGAGGAGAAGATGTGAGATGAGAAGATGTGAGAAGATGAGAAGATGTGAGAAGATGTGAGAAGATGTGAGAAGATGTGAGAAGATGTGAGAAGATGTGTGAGAAGATGTGAGAAGATGTGTGAGAAGATGTGAGAAGATGTGAGAAGATGTGAGAAGATGTGAGAAGATGTGAGAAGATGTGAGAAGATGTGAGAAGATGTGAGAAGATGTGAAGATGAGAAGATGTGAGAAGATGTGAAGATGAGAAGATGTGAAGATGAGAAGATGTGAAGATGAGAAGATGTGAAGATGAGAAGATGAGGAGATGAGAAGATGTGAGAAGATGTGAGTGGAGGTGTGAGAAGATGTGAGAAGATCTATTATTTAATATATATATATATATAATATTTTATATTTAATATTTAATATTTAATATTTAATATATAATATAATATATATATATTCATCATATATATATATATATATTCTATTTTTGATTTTTTATATTATATATATAATATTATATATATATATTACATATATTATACATAAATATTTATATATGTTACATATATTGTATTTTCAATATATATTATATACTATGTATTTTCTTTTATTTATTATATATTATATATTTTGTTCTTTTTATATTATATATATATATTATTTAATAAAAAATATAATAAAAATATACATATATATATATCGTTGGATTGGTGAACATAAAGAACTTCTCCTTGCGTTACCACTGCCAGGTGTTTGAGATAAATCCCAAGATTACCCCATGATATCCTCAGCATTCTCCACTTGCAATCATCCAATAGATTCAATAGATGGAAAACCAATATTTCTTTATGAACATTCCCATGTTTGCAAAGGATTTGTTTGCAATATTCATCAATTGGTTGGTGGTTTGGAAGATGAATTTTACGTTTCCATTCAGTTGGGAATGTCATAAGCCCAACTGACGAACTCATATTTTCAGAGGGGTAGGTATACCACCAACCAGTTATACATGTTACATGTTACTAGCATTAGAGGACTAGTCTATCCCATCATTACCAAGTATAGTGTTGTTTCTCTTAGCATACAACGATCTACAACGTTTTTGTTGCTGGTGTCAACTGGTTGTTTGTTTTCATCTCCAAGACAACTATCCGAGCTGGTCATGGGTTTCTACTGCCACCAAAAACCCTCAGGCTTTTGATCCCCATTTAATTTGCCACGTGCCGGAGAAGGACTGGAACAGGATCAGAAAAAATGAAGGTAAGTGAGTATCTCTGGGGAAGTATGTGTGTAATATATATATTTAGTGTACTATAAGGCAAATATTATATATCATACATGTACACATATGCATACGCATACACATATGCGTATGCATATGCATGCGCATACAAACATGCATGCATAAATACATACATACATACATACGTACATACTTATACATATATACAAAGATACACATATACAACGATATATAGATACAAATCTACAAAGATATATAGATACATAGATACATGGATATAAAGATATGTTTATATAGAGAGAGATAAACATAAATAGGTAGATCGATAAATATATAGATAGATAGATAAAAGATAGATAGATAGATAGATTCATAGATCCATAGATCCATAGATCGATCGATAGATTGATAGCTAAATAGATAGATAGATAGATAGGTAGGTAGGTAGATAGATAGATAGATAGGTAGATAGATAGATAGGTAGGTAGGTAGGCAGATGGATACATCCATACATACGTACATTACATTACATTGCATTGCATTGCATTACATTACATTAAATTACATTACATTACATTACATTAATACATACATACATACATACATACATACATACGTACATACAAACAAACAAACAAACAAACATACAGGCACACACACACATACATTCATGCATTCATGCATGCATACATACATACAACCTAGGTATGAAAAAAAATCGTGGTTTTCCCGATGCAAATAAGCTGGTCGAGCGAATTCTTGATATGTTGCTCGAATTTCTGAAAGGTGCGTGTATATACAAAAATTGTACATGATCATTTGATTAAAATGCGGTTACCCTATTCACTACTGGAATTGAACGATGTTATAACCACTTAGTGGTAGGAGAATTCATATGTTGAAACTTGAAACTTAGTCATAAGTACTTCGATTACCATTTACTAAGTGGGACAATCCTCTCATTTATGTTGCAAGTTATCCATGGGCCCACTTGAAAACTGCTTGTGTTTTTTTCTTCTGGTTGGGTTGCAATTTTTCATGGCTGTTTTTTAACAGATGAGTGGATTTTTTTTCTGTGAAAGGTAATGTGATTTATACCCTCTGGTAGGCTAACATAACTATGGAACATCACCATTTTTAATGGGTAAATCCACTATAACAGTATGGTAACGGTTCGATGCGGTTCGGTTAGGTTCAAATTTCCGGTTCGTAGTGCACGGTTCGGTTCATAAACGGTTATTAAATATCCCCCGTTGTACCGGTATTTTTTTTCCTGTGACTCCACTTCGGCGAATAAAAATGCCAAGTCAGGTAAAAATCATCAAAAAATGGATGTCGCAAGGTTGGGGTTCAGGAAAACAAATGTTGGAGCCAGGAAAGCAGGATTAGTAACATAAGGTTGTACCACAGGATTTTATATGTTTCGAAGATTTGCTTGCCAGGATTGCATGGTTTTCCAAACAAGGTTGGGGTACAGGAAAAAAATCTCTGGGCCAATCTGTCGAACAGGAGAGGGTAGGATCTACATAAAGGTTGTGATCATACTTTTTAATGCATTTCAGTGGTTTGTAAAAAGGTTGAATCCGATAGCTTCACTGGATTTTAATTTTGAACAGTTATGAACTCCGTATGGTTTTCTTCAACAATATCCTCCTCTGTACTACCAGTTTTTTTTCCCTGGGGGTTCAGTACGCTTTTTAAAAAACACTATTTTCCAAAAATCTAGCAGACAGTGGGTGAGGGTCCAGGGGCATGATACGGGGCCAGGAATCAAATATCATACCAAAAAAGGCCCAGTTTTTTTTTCCTGAAAGCTTCCTGACGTACAGTGGCAGGAAATCAATTTCTGTCTGTTGTGATTGAGGGGGTTGATCTATCAGTCTGTGTATGTAAGGCATCAGGAAATCAATCATGAATGACTCTGATAATGGGTAAGTTTGTAGAATTCCCAAGGTTAGTAGCCAGGAATTTGAAGGTGGATGGATCAAATGGGAGTTTACTAGAACATATCTAAATGTCAAACCCCAGGAAAAAATGTACCATGATTAATTGAGGGGGTATGATTCTTTACATGACTTTGCAAAAGGGTACAAACACATATGTTCACCTTCACCAACCAAAAAAAGTGACTTCAAGAGGCCAAGGCGCAGGGGTCAAAAATAAAATCCAAGGGGCTGGACCTTTTTTGACTGAATACTTGCGGATGATCTTCAAAGGTTGGCCCCACAGGAAAAAAGTCGCATCACCAGGCCAATCATCCACAGATAGGACATGATGGGACGAATTCAAGAATTTTGTGTCAACGCGCGCCCAATTTGCAAAACACATGTTTTTTTTGCTGAAAATACAGTTGTCCTTGCAAAAGGGTACAGACACACATGTTCAGCTTCACCAACCAAAAAAGTGACTTGAAGAGGCCGAGGCGCAGGTGTCAAAAATAAAATCCAAGGGGCTGGACCTTTTTTGACTGAATACTTGCGGGATAATCTTCAAAGGTTGGCCCCACAGGAAAAAAGTCGCATCACCAGGCCAATCATCCACAGATAGGACATGATGGGACGAATTCAAGAATTTTGTGTCAACGCGCGCCCAATTTGCAAAACACATGTTTTTTTTGCTGAAAAGACATTTGTCCTTGCAAAAGGGGTACAACCACATATGTTCAGCTTCACCAACCAAAAAAGGTGACTTCAAGAGGCCGAGGCGCACGTGTCAAAAATAAAATTCAAGGGGCCGGACCTTTTTTGACTGAATACTTGCGGATGATCTTCAAAGGTTGGCCCCACAGGAAAAAAGTCGCATCACCAGGCCAATCATCCACAGATAGGACATGATGGGACGAATTCAAGAATTTTGTGTCAACGCGCGCGCAAATTACAACACATATGTTTTTTTTGCTGAAAATGCATTTGTCCTTGCAAAAGGGTACAACCACATATCTTCAGCTTCACCAACCAAAAAAAGGTGACTTGAAGAGGCCGAGGCGCAGGTGTCAAAAATAAAGTCCAAGGGGCTGGACCTTTTTTTGGCCGAATTCTTGTGGATGATCTTCAAAGGCTGACCCCACAGGAAAAAAATCGCATCACCAGGTCAACCATCCATAGATAGGAAATGATGGGACGAATTGAAGAATTTTGTTCCAACGTGTGGCCAAATTGCAAAACAGGCGTTTTTTCCTGAAGATACATTTGTCCATGCAAAAGGGTTGTGCATTGCCGTGGGCATCTGCCGGACCGCACTCGTGAAGCCGTGGACTCTGAAAAACTGCGAGCTGTCAGCCGGGAAGTCAGGTGCCAGGAATTCATTTTTTTCCGTATCAGATTGAGGGGGGGAAGATATGGCATGTTACCAACGCAAGCATCCAGGAAATATTTTTTTTACTTGGATATGAGAGGGGTAAATTTATTGGATGTTGGACGTTGGGCACCACGAAATTAGCAAAGAAAATTCAAAAAGGTGGTTGGAAGTGAGATTTCGGCTTCAGAGGTTAGGAGCCAGGAATTTAAAGCTCTAAAACCTCTCTCAAAGGTTAGGGGTCATCATTTTAGACCGATTTTTTTCTAGGACTGTACCCCACGTTTTTGTACCGACGGGGATCAACAATCATGTAGAGAGGACACATCATTTCTGGTCATTTCCAACAGAGAGAGAGAGAGAGAAACAGTTCTGGACCTCCAAAGCCTAGTGTCATCCATCTCCCCGTCTTGAAAGATCTTGACAGCATGCGAGCAAAAAAATGATGGAGCCGGTGGAAACCCTGTGACCCAGGATTTGAATTATATGACAAGAAAAGTGTTTATGCCAAACCCTCAGCAGTTTTTGAAAGGTCGTGATCTTCCAATTCAATCGACTTGACGATCTGAATGGGCTAGGTACACATGTATCATCATAAAGGTTATGACCCAGGAAAAGAGTTGTGTCAGCGCAATGGTGGGCCAGGAGACATGTTGGTCCACATAAAGGTTTTGGAACAGGATTTTAATTTGTTTGCCCGGGAAATTGCAACTTGGTTGTTGGCTTAAATCTGTTGGGTTGTACCCTTTGGAAATCAATTCCAAAAGGTTGTGGACCAAACGATTTAAGGCATTTTTTTCCAGGACTAGACCCTTTTGAGCGGTACCACGGGGGATTATTAAATAAACGGTTTGGTTTCCCCAAAACGTCGATTGGGATGTTCCATTATCACCTTTGATTACCAGAGAATAGCAGTAAACACATAGCACATGTTTGGTTGTTTCCTTAGTTTCCCTAGCCTCAAATCAATCCAGAACGGAAGGAGGATCTAGATGTTGAAGTTCAAGAACGGTTGAAACGCTTGGAGAAGAGAGGTCTCTTGGATCATGTTGGATCTTGATTTTCCAGAATCTCCAGAATGGCCATGTTCAGATTTTCAATCCCAAGATGATCTATGAAACCAGATCAAGTGACTCAGCTGTGCAGCAGCATCACCAGTGGCCTGCTTGGGTACAAAGGAGGTAGCATGCCTGAGTTCGGCACATTTTGGATTTTCCCTGGTTTTGAAGCCCCAAAATGCAAGTTTGTCCATAATTTTGTCATTATTTTCACCAACATGAAACGACATGAACATCATCTACAGACCTACATTTATCATCTTCTCCCCACATGGGACATGAACATCATTACTAAGTAACATTCTTCCGGCTTTTTTTTACTGAGGTGCTAAGCTGATTTTCCATCGACTCAGTTTCCTCGATCGCCTCTCTGTCGAATATCGATCAACCAAAGCAAGGGTTTTTGTGGCAATTCCAAAAAAAGATCATGTGTAATGATGATTTAGGGATATCAAAGCAATCACCGGGAACATACATACATACATACATACATACATACATACAGACATACATACATACATACATACATACATACACACACATACATACATACATACATACATACACACATACATACATACATACATACATACATACATATATATGTATGTATGATTGTGTATATATATATATATATGATTGTATATATATATATTTACACGATATTTTATTATTGTAAATATATATATATATATACATACATTTACATATATGCATCTATGTATATTATATAAAATTGATTGTAATGGGGATTTGAACCAACAAAATTCGGGGGGTCAAGAGCCCCATTGCCGACAGGACGAGTTTATCTCATCAGTGATTCACCAACATCGCCAGTTTATGACCACCATAAACCCTGGATTTTTGGGCTTCCAGATTTTGAAACAGTCCTAGCGCAGGGTACCCACGATTAGCCATGACCCAAAACACGGACTAAGGAGAGGCTTGGGAAAGTGAATAAAACCTGATTGTCTCCTTTTTTTACCGGCAACAATTGCGTTTAAAGTTGGGGGTACTTCCAGCCCGAATATCTGCGCAAAACACATTCGGCATGTACGTGCATCCAAAAAAAAAGATAAACATAGATAAACTATTTATAAACATGGCTGGAATTGTGAAACTATCGGTCATTCATTTTTGAGTCACATCTCTTGATGGTTGATGTTCAATCTTTCTTGAGACATGGCTTACAGGGCAAATCAGAGCGACTTTATCAAAAGAGTGTGTCAGAAAACCCCACAGTTATGGCCATTTACCAGTTATAACTGGTTATAAATGGGATTATACATTTTATAAATGGGGGTTATAAGTACTTATAACTGATAAATGGCCATAACTGCACATACCACAAAAAAATGATGCCTTAGCCGCAGTTTCACTGGTGGAAGCCGTGGCCCTCACCATCCATCACCGGTAGGTTTGACTGAGAAGTTGGAACGGGAAAGCGTCAAGGACGTCGATGCGGAATGCGTTGCAGGCTTCACCGAGGATTTTCGTCAAGTTCCGTGTCTCCATGAAGAACAACCGTAGTATAAATATGTATAAATTATAGTAAACACCATTTTTTTGATGCGGAAATGATCCGCATTTTAGCAGGATTAAGTCTCTTTGGGACTTTACTCCACACACTCCGGAACTGGTGGGAAGAGGACCCATAGCGGGATGGAAACACAACAACGCGATTTCGCTAAAACAACTCATCACAGTTCAAAAGACAAAGTGCTCAAGAGTGGACGGATTGCAGGCCGCACACTGTGATTTTGTTCGTTCTTTGTTCGGATTGGATTTCATAGATCCTATAGGATTTCAACGTCCTGGATTACCTCATTCTATACTGGTTGGTGGTTTGGAACATTTGTTATTTTTCCATGTACTGGGAATAATAACCCCAACTGAGGTAGGTATACCACCAACCAGTCTAGGTTGTCACTTTTGGTGTTTAATACGTTTCTTAAACTGCTCGCAGGCACCTTCGCGCGCCTGGAGATTCCAAGCATTCTGACCCGTAGTGACATCCTGGAGAGGCGCGTTGCGCAAGCGCTGCTGGTTGAGATCCTGCATTGGAAATATGTTGTGTGAAAAAAAAGGTGGCTGGTTTTTGTTGGCGAACTTTTCATGAAAGTTGCTGGGAGAATTCTTCGAAATGTTTGATTGAACAAAATTGCCATGCTTGACTATTGGGTATACCCCATTTTGGGATGATGTCAAAGAGTTTGATTTTGGATGATGCCTCTATTTCAGGAAACAAACATGTCGCCCCATTTCATGTCGGATGCGATAGAACTGCAAATGCTGGCTAACGATCATTTATTAAAACTGACTGGCATACCACGTCATACCATTATTTTATAATTTTCAGATGTTATGTGTTGTTTTCGGGACGTTTACCTTGACCCTCAGCAGCGAAAATCATCGGTAGAATTGGAGCATGGCTAAGTGAATCACATTTTCTGATGAGCAAACTATAAGTCAAGGTAATTCCTCCCCCCCAACAGTAAATATTTTCCCAATAGTATTGGATCTATTGATTTTTCAGCCTCTATTTCGACATTTTCTCATGGGGGATCAAATTACATTTACGTTTTACGGTAAGTTCGATATATTATATATTTATACATACATTATATACATAATTATACATATACTTAGACGCATGTACTTGTAGTTCAACTGTTTAACCTCATGTCTCTTTACTGTGTGGTCTCACTTCTTGTGCATTGCACATCATTGCAGCATAGTTCCGGTTGTTGCTGCAGGCATGACCGCAGATATGCCTTGTACACCGACACTGACGTGATTTGGTGGCGGAAGGCCAGGGGACTTTTGGCTTGAGAACGCTGAAGGTACAGGTAGCAATAAACATGGGTGAACCTACATTTAAACCCTTCCAATATATATATATATATATTATAAGCATGACTACACATTGTCATAATCAATAGTTGTTTGCGTTGCAGTTGTCCTTTCTCAGTGTAAGTACACACAACAGTATAACAGTATATGTACACAGACTGACTTCAAGGGGTAATCTCACCCAACTGTGGATTGAGATGCCATCGCTGCCACCGGCGACCAAATGGGAACCTTTCGACCTTTCCTGGTTGATTTTTTCGGTGGGTGTGTCTGAAAACGGGGCCCATATGGGCCCATGTATACCCTCCAAATGCGGAGTCAAGAGTTGGATGGTATACTCTACTATACCCAGAGGGATGGTCATCAATCCATAGGAATTTACCGATGCGGAATCCTTGATGGCGGGATGAACATTGACCATGGCATATGGCATTTTTTGTGGATGGTATAATGGCCTCGCCTATGTTCAGACATTCCATCAGGATCAACGATAGCAAGTTTGACACAACAGGACATGTCTAAGACCTATTGTTGTTTCTATCCAGTTACGGTATTAGTTGTGGTCATCCAAGGATACTCAGGGTGGTTTTTGCCTCCAGTCAGGTGCAAGGGAGCAACCATAGTCCACGCAATTCTAGGTGGATCTAGCTTATATCATTGCCATTCAGAATGTGCAACGTCAACGACTTGAGGATTGACTCAAAATTACTAGGCCCTAGATTCTTTTTTTTGTGTTCTGTGGGCACAAAAAGATGCATCATTGTTTTTGTGTATTCCTGACTTATATGTTTCATGGACTTTTGATTCAACTTGACCATCCACTTCCTCATTGTTTTCTTCATCTATATATATATATAACCTCTCGTAATCAAACATTCTTTGCTGGTCAATCCCCTATTCAAAACGATCATTTTTCCATCTAAATGCCCATTTCGTTAGAGTCACAACTCTGCATCTGCTGATTGGTGAATACCCCTATATAAAATTATATGATATATAAACACATTAATAAGGAGTTTTAATGGGATGTACCCATGAACATTTTGGGGTTTTATGGGGTTTCAACCTGTTTCAACGAATTACAGGTGTGGGAATATATAATTGACAACTGAGTGTTGCTTGGTTAAGTTGAGGTAATACTCACTGGTCGATTGGGAGATTGTGAAAATCCTCGGGATACCCATTTGCCAACGAGTATTTTGCTGGATGGAATAGAGGTATTTTCGATTGAAACAGGTGATGAACATCCATTTACCAGCTATTTAGATGTGGATCTTATAGGCATAAAGAACCTGTAAAATGGTGTCCTCAAAAACTCTGGTTCCTATTCGATATGGATTTGGATCAACAACATTTTCGCCCCCACAAACCAATCCCATCCGGGCATGTTTCAAACTGGGGACGTTCAACCCATCCGTGCAGCTTGTTCATGGCTTTCGGGGTGGATTTCGGCAGGTCAGCATGAATGAGTTCATGGCTTCGATTCCATCGCAGAAGTTCTCGGCGTCTGGGCACATCTGGGCACCGTGTGGGCCGGCGCTGGATCCATCGGTGAGTGAAGTGACCCTTCGGTCATCCATATTGCTACCCTCTGCTAAACCTACAAAAAACTATGGAAAATCACATCTTTTAATAGGTAAATCAAACATGGCAATTTACAATAGCTATCTTAGTTTAACGGAGGGTAGCTGGGAAAATCCTGAGCCATGGAGGTTTTGATGATAAGATATGATAAAATCATCTAGATATGGGGGTGGTTCCACTGCCATGTTAGATTACCGGAGGGTATAGATCAGGGCAACGATGAGGAACCTTGCTGCCGTCGGGGTCCACATGTGACCAGCTGCTTCATCACAACCAGGCTAGTTTTAAGAACATGTCTTTAGTTGTATCCCCTTAGAATGCAAACATTTTCTGCCACTGATTGCATCTACTGTAATTACTGTATATATGTTGGTCATATGAGTCGTATACATATATATATATGTGATTGTATTATGTAACAGCAGGCAATGGTTTCACTCCCAGAATTGATTTGATCTGGGACTGAGGTGGCTTACACTGGACAGATTAGCAAGGTGCGAAGAGAGTGGCTGCGGTTTTTTCCCTGCTACGAAGCCATGAAACTGCTTGGGTCTTTCAAAATTTTCAAAAAGCAACAGCAGAAAAGAGATGTGAGGAAAAGTCCGACTATGGTATAGTGACTTTTATTTACTTTTCTATCTTTGGTACTGTATCCGGGAGCCGTTGATGGAAATTTGGAATGAACAGATCAAGATGCTCAAAACTTCACTTTACCTTGTAGCACAAGTTTGACTCAGACATGATTCAGACATAATTCAGACTAGCCATGTCGATTTAGAAACTTCTCCGGACATTTTTGGTGGTTTCCTAAGTTATGACCATTGGGAGGTACCCCAGATCATCCAAAATTCGACCATTGTCTGGTTGTTGGTTTGGAACATGAACTCTATTTTCCATTCAGCTGGGAATTACATAATCCCAACTGACGAAGTCCATCATTTTTCAGAGGGGTAGGTATAGCACCAAGCAGATTGTGTTATTGAAACAAACTGTTAAAATGGCTGTGGGGATCCCCATTTTAGACTAGCCCTATGACAACCCTCTGGCAAACATACAAACAACGATGGAAAATCACCATCTTTAAAAACGGTAAATCCGCTATAAATGGCCATTTTTCAATAGCAAACTGTTAAATTACCAGAGGGTAATTGAGCCCAGTACAAGAAATCTGGACATCAGGAGGAGGGACCTATCAACACGGGTGTCATCCTGATGAATTTGCAGAATCTCAACAAAGACATGCTGCTTGGCTCCAACATTTCCATTTTGGGCAGGGAGTGGGAAAAAAGTTTGGCACTTTTCTCTGGATCTTTCATATGGTGATGGGTGAAATGCCTTGTAGCCGGATGGGACCCTACAAGAGATGGTTATATAATGGATGGTTATTCCACCCAATATATTTAAATATGCTTAGTAGACAATACTAGTAGTACCGCACAAGGTGGTGGCGGAAGTTTCAAAAATAGGAAACCTATAGGAGAGGTTGATTGCTGTGAGTCACGGATGGCAGGGCGAAGCCACTGATGGACCGACAGGTGGTTGAGGTCTCCTCTCTTTCTCTCTCTTTCTCTTGGCTTTTTTCGCGAGCAACGTGGTTCGTTGGGAATAAGGGATTTCTAGAACACAAGGTATGACCCTGACCCCGTCCTTGTTGGTAGCAGCTGGGAAGGAACTTTGGCATTCAGGCGCTGTGTGTCGCTTTGTGGTAGGTTAAAACTAATCAGGAAAAAACTAGAAATCACATTTCTGAGATGACCCAGGAACGGAGTTCGCCGGAGTTCGCCGGAGTTCGTCGGGGTTCGTCGGGGCCGAATTTGCTACGTGAAAATGTTGTTGCCAAAGTGGAAAAACTGGTTATAAAAATGCGATTTTACTTTCTGCGTGCTGTTTTTCCATGCGTCTTAGGGGCGAAAACGTCAAAACACACGTAGGAAATGTTTGGACATCTTTGCGCGCAAGGTTAAGTTCGTCGGAGTTTGTCGGGCTTAAAGTTGTACAGACTGCGTAAAGATCTTTACCAAAAGTGTCACGAATATTCTTTCCAAGGCCAGATTGAAACTGGAAATTCTTATTGTTCTGCTGGTCCACCTGGTTCAGTCTTATGCATTTCGGCAGACCTTATTCCCTACGAACCCGCAAGCTCGCGAAAAAAACAACTTTCTCTCTCTTTATTTCTCCTTCTCTGACTATCTACCTACCTACCTATCTATCTATCTATGTATCTATCTATTTACATATCTATCTGTCTGTCTGTCTGTCTATTTGTCTGTCTGTCTGTCTATCTATCTATCTATCTATCTATCTCTCTCTCTTTCTGTCTGTCTATCTATCTACCTGCAAGCTTGAAAACGAAACGATTCTGCGAGACTTGGTCAGTTTTGAAACTTGACGACATCAAGAACGCAGCAATTCAGCGAGACTTCCTCAATTTTTGCACTTGACAACATCAAAAACCAAGCAATTCTGCAAGACGTCTTCAAGACGTCTTCAAAATGGAAAGTTGAGTGCAGAGCTGACTGACGGCCTCGTACCATTGCGTTTTGGGATTTTTTGACTCCACCTGTCTAAACTACTGCGCCTGCCACGGAAAAGTGCTACCGGGTCATACGAAGTGCTGCACTTGTCACGCAAAATCATCTCAGCAAACCTGAAGATCTCAGGCTCCTGAAGATCGCAGGCTCCAAAATGCAACCTTTCTCAGGAAATCAGCGCCCGGACCTCCTAACAGCTCTGATGAACATGTCTCTTGTACTGCGCCTGCCACGGAAAATGCATCTTTCAAGATCCTGTTCAAATGTCCCACGCCTGCCATCGTTTTTGGAAACGCTACAAACCTTCATGGTTTGCTCACTTTTGACAAGGTCCACAATCCCTTGCGCCTGCCACGCGAAACGACATCTGAACGTCCAAAAGTGGTTCTTGCATGTGGTGTTTTTCACATTTTGACTTCGAAATGTGCTTCGCGCCACAACGGTGTGCATTTTTTCGACATCTCAACTTCCAAAAGTGGTCCGGAGCTGTGGTGTTTTGTACATTTTGACTTGGAAATGTGTTTCGTGCCACAACGGCGTACACTTTTTCGACATTCCAACTTCCAAAAGTGGTCCGGAGCTGAAATGCTTTGTACATTTTGACTTGGAAATGTGTTTCGGGCCACAACAGCGTGCACTTTTTCGACATCTCAACTTCCAAAAGTGGTCCGGAGATGTGGTGCTTTGTGCATTTTGACTTGGAAATGTGCTTCGTGCCACAACGGCGTGCAATTTTTCATCTCTCATCTGGCCAGCTGGCTCCGCACCCGCCGATTTAGCGAGCCTACTTTTCGATCCTCTGGAGCCACAAATCGTTGGAAAACACTGTGTTTCGCGACTTTCCTTTCTGCTCCACCTTTGCTTTTCATCTGTCCATATTGTCGGAAGTTGGACTTCTAAACTTCCTTCGAATGGGTATCATTGGCTTTGACCAACCCCCGAAGCAAAAAAGTGATACTCTCCGATA